CATCATTCCAGGTCAGGAGAAATGGCACAGCACCACCTTTACCAGTTGCCAGCTGAGACCTTCTGGATCCAAGGCAAAGGGCTGACCCAGCTCCCCTTATGTCTCAGCATCTCAGTGCTCCTACCAGTGATTGCTCCCCTGCACCACAGGAGAGCATAGTTTGCACCTGGGACTTAAACTGAAACATGGGCATGAGAGCACATGCAAAAGCAATGACTCAGACATCACCAGGAAGCTTATTTTCCTTCCACAAAGTGCCAATAAAATACAGTTTCCAGACAACAGCTAAAGCCTCTTCCTTTCCATCCCAGAACATTGTTGCCTGCTTTGTCAGTGGGATTTGCCTCATGGACATGGATCATCGTGTGCCTACAGTGCATTAAAGAACTAATAGATGATTTAATACACCTGTAGAATCAGCTTACACCATGGCAACTTTAAACAATTAAAGGAGATTAATTGATACCTATGACCTATACTATAGGCAGTGATTTACAGGGCTTACATATTAATTTAAACTTAAGGTTTTATAAGGAATTTAAAAGTAAGCATAAAAAACTTGCGCATGTCAGGTGCTTGCATGAACAAATGGACCTGCCCTGCAGGAGAGTGCGTTGAGGAGGGCCATCTCATGGCAACACAATGGCTTGGCATACTGGAGACCAGAGCTCCAGGTCTGGAAGACATTTCCAAATTCAATGTTCATATCCTTTTTATCTCTCTTAAAATATATCTTGTTGTTAGGCTTGATCTACACAATGCAAAAATCAACTGTCAGAGATTGTACTGCTCTATTTTTGGCAGTTTTTGGCTGGCATTTGGCCTTGGCTCAAACTCTAGGCAGCAAGGAGCTGTGCTGCCATTGAATGTGCTGGAAGTCACAGGAAAAGTATACCCATGCTGGGCTGCACCTGGAGAGCTGGGGTCTCTGCATGCTCGCTGGGATCTGCTGTCGGCACAGGAGATGGTGTATGTGTTGTCCCGTAGGGTGTTGGTGCTGCACTGCCTCCCCAGCCCCAGAGGAATGAAGGCCATCATCCTCACTATGGAGCATGGACCCTGGCTCACCCTACGGAGCAGGCGTCCTTGTAGTGCTATCCTAGCAGCTCCACCCCTGCTGTCCAGAGTGCTATAGGAGACTGTACAAGCATAGACAGACACAGCATACTCTAGTTAATGCTGGCATGTTCTCCTTTCTGGAAAATTTTGGCATAGTCTAGATATGTCTACCTTGTCACAAGTGTCCATGCTAGGGAGCAAAGCAAGAGGTGCAGAGCGTTCTGCATCCTTCATGCTCCTGGCTTGTTCCCTTCTGGAGCAGATGAGCCTAATCTGCATGGTCCAGCACTTTGGACAAGCTCTGTCCTCTGCTTGACATACACCCCAATGTTGTTCCATCCGCTGTCCCTGCCTGCTGCTGCTCCGCATGCTGCTCTTGCTCACGCTCAATAGCTGTCAGGGCCACCTCAAACTTAATGTTGTGCCAGATAGGGGAAGTGATTCTCCAATGTCTCCAAGGTGAGGATGACTGTATCCTTCAGCCTGCAGAGCTACTCCAGCTGCGTGGGGCCAGTTCCCCATGTCAGCCCCTGGTAAGGCATACCAGGCCCTGACAGTATTCCAATTTCAAGAGCTGCCACTGCATCATCCCACAAGTCCTCATGGACTACTGCAGCTACATTGTGGCCTGTAATGCTGGTAGCCCAGGCAGATGTGTGCCCCCGGCTCCTTGGGATGTTCACTTGGCCAGCTGACCACAGGACAGCAATTCTGCGGAACAACTAGACACTAAAATCTCCTGTGCTTTCCTGGCCATCCCTGCCTGCTCTGGCTAGCACAATCTGGACAAAGACATGAGCAGGCTGTTCTGTCTGAAGTGGTAGTGGCAGGACCCAGCTCTTCAATATCTGTATTACAGGCTGGCTCTACCTCTGGATCTTGTGAGGGCAGATATGAGGCCACCTAACACATAGCTTTGGTTTAGCACCAGCAAGGCCCAAAACATCAGAGAAATGTTTCACTATCACCTTCAATGCAACAGTTGCATCTTCTTTTGCACGTATCCATTCCATGGTGTAGGGGACAGTGGCACCCTGGGGAGGATCCTGGCATGGGCTGCATCAACAGACCTCAAGGTACGCATGACCATCAGAACCTGGGTACAGGTTCATAATGCCATAGTCTGGACTAATGCGATTGTGTTGAAACACCTGTGCTAAATGTCAGAGGAAGAAGGTCTCTCCTCCAGGTTGGAAGGACCCTCTGGAGCTTCTTACAGCTTGCTGAGCAGCACCACTCTGAGGAGGGCAGAGGCCTCCTGCACCACACCATGTACTGGAGAACACAAGCTCTGCTTTCCACCTGCTAGCACTCCACACATCACCATGGCTCCTGCCAAGGTCACTATATAGCAGCACTGTGCTGGCATCCCGTGTTGCACTGGCTGTTTGGATACAGTCTGGTACCTGTATGGTGCTTTGGCTAAGGCAACAAAGAAGCACCCTAGAGGACACTGGTTTCATACGTTGTGTTCTAGAGCAGTGCTATACAAGGAAATGCTCTCAAAGGACCACAGCATGTTTGCAAGACACTGGTCCCCTGTGCACTGGATAGCTCCTGGGAAGGGACAGGAGCCCTGCTGTGGGGAAGAGCAGAGCTCTCTACCCCTCTCATACCAAACTCCAGAGGATGCTGGTGCTTTGACTCAACATCTAAAGGCTCTGTAGCACACATAGGCATTGGGACAACACAAAGCATGGCAGAAAACCAGAACACTGCAAACCTCCCTGATGACACAGTATTGAGAGGCTGTTTGTGCCCTGCCCAGCCCTCTGAAGTTTGCAGTCATGGCATCCCTCACTCTGCAGTGCATGGCGGTGTGGCAGGCCCCAACCCGCTATGCTGCCCTGGGAGCCCTGAAGGTGCCATCCACATGCAAAACTCCTGGCAGTCTCCATGCATGCTAAGGGTGGGTCAGTAAGACAGGACATTAGCGCTCCTCACCAGCATGCAGCAACCTGCACCATGCTCCAGCAAACCTTGGCACAGTATACTGCAGCCATGCAACCATCATGCAGCCCATACAACACTGTGGAAGATGCCAGACACCCACAAAGAAGATGCAGTGGGCTCTTCTGTGTCCTGCAGGATACATGCATCCTGCAGCACACTATACTATGCCTGAGCACATGGCAACCAGCCTGCTCAGGGAGGGAGGCCACAGACACTGGTGGGAGATGGAGAATGGGAAGGGGGTCAGCGGCAAGGCATCCTGTGTACGCTGACTCAGCTGCTCCCGTGTGGCTCAGCGACAAAGCACTCTGTGCAGGTAGGGCGGTGCCGGGTGGGGCGGGGTGTGCAGATGTGTCAGCCTTGGCACGCATGGAGCCGGGCCTGGCAGGAGGGCCAGACACGCTGCCAAGACAGGCAGCACCGTGGAAAGCAGGGAGTGCCTCCATACCGCCATGGTGGGTGCAGCCGTGCTGCGGGAACAGGGAGAGGGGCTGCAGCACCTCTGTGTGGCAACATACACCACATTTGCAGGACCCTGCCTTTCCCTGCCAAAATAGGGATGGTTTTCAGGAAGAACCACCCAAGCTCACGAGAAGGGGATTTTCCCCAGCCAGACATACCTTTCTTCATTGAGTGCGCCTCTCTCCTAGGGGCCATGAACCAAAGCAGAGTGGAAATGTCTCTGGACCTTCACTCAGTCACCCTCTGGGGATTTAGTGCTTTTAAGCACTGTCATTCACCCCAGCTCTCCCCTTTCTTCCCGCTAAGGGTTCTGGCCAATTACTCCACCTTGGGTTTTGATCAGGCTAGTGCTGGGAGCTGGGGTTATTCTCTACTTGCTGCCTCCCTGAAACTGAGGCCTCCCAGAGGTTTGCTCCCCCAAAACCTGATGGCTCTTCCTGAAGCAGGCAAAATAAGTCTTCATCCAACAGGCAGTACAAGGGAGAAATCTACAGGATGCCCTTTCACTCAGCCTGGGATGGGGGAAAGACAGGTAGCCGTGGCAAGAAGGGACAAGAAGCTCTTGTCAAGGGACAAGAAGATCCACCATCCTTTGTGTCCATCCCTCCCCTGCTACTCTGAGGACAGCCTCACTGCCCAGACACTGCTGAGCTACAGCAAGGGGCAGCTTGCACTAGCAAATGGCCATGCAACCCAGGTGTCTTCTGCTGGTCCAGGGGCCAGACCTATGTGCTGGTAACACTTGGGATTATGCAGCAAACGTGCCTGCAAGGGCACCACATGTGGGAGCATTTTGGAGATGCCAGTGTCTAGAAGAAAAATGCAAGCTAACTGCATCCTTGAAAGGACAGCTGGATGGTGACTCCACACGGGCTCCTTCTTTCATCTCAAGTCCTGATTGCAAGCTGTCAGAAATATGCAGAGGTGGCAAATAGAGCCTGGGCCTTTCAGGAAGATGTGGAAATAGGAACAAAAGAGGCCTGGCAGCAAGCCTTCCAACTAATCAAGGGATCAGGAGACTTGGAAAAGACTTGCCAGACAGTGCCCCTACCCATACTGCTCCACAGGGCAAGTTCTGGCATGGAAAGGAGTGAGGGGGCTCTAATACAGTACAGCAGGAACTGAAGTGGCCATAACTAGGATTATCCCAGACTGCAGCAGGTAAAGCAGGTCATACCACTGAGGTCTGTTACAGAAACCTCCTAAGGAATTCAGGTGTGAGAGGCTGTAAGGCAAGGGGACGTGTTATTCAGGAGGTCTGCTGAGATACCCTAATGGTCACTGAATCCTCATGTACTCCAGCACTAGAAGGCGGGGTCTGCAATTGTGCTTGCTCAGTAGAGCGCTGCTGGGACTGTGTGGTGCCTTTTTCCTCTGCTCTCAGAGCTTCAACACAGAGACAACACCCACACCCCCTCACCGTTCTCTTTATTTATGGACACAACATCATCTGGGGATGTAGAAATGAGAAACAGCACCTCACAAAGAATCTGCCCACCCAGACAGTGGTGTGCCTGCAGCAAGGTCCTTGTAAGCACTATGCAGTTTTACAGCAGGGGAGAGATGGATGCAGGCTCCATGACCTAGGGAAACCAGCTGGTTGACCAAAAGGCAATATGCCTCTCCATGGCTGAGCCTCACCTTTGCCTTCTAAGTCATCTATTTCCACCGGCCACCCACCATGGTCTTCCCACGGGCAGCCTTTGACCTGGGAAAGAAGCAGAAAAGCATGTGCAGAAAGGCATTAGTGAATGTAAAAGGAGAGAAGAGGTGGGCTCCATCAGGGGAGAACTGGAGTCCCTGCAAAGGGTCCCATGGGACTGATCTGTCTCTGGTTGATGCTCACTTCCCAACAGGGAAGGAGGTCTTCAGTAGCATTTTCCTCAGGTCAGGCCTTGGGACCCAAATCGGTCTGTGCTTTGGGACTGTATGGGAGCAAGTTCATGCATTTCACCAGGTGTTTCTAAATATCCCTGATTCCCTTCCCATGTTCCTCCCTCTCAAGGATCTTTCAGAGAAGGAATGAAGGATTCAGATCTCTAGCTACATATGGATAACGACAACTTTACAATCTCTCTCTCTCAAGAACCCAAAGCCGTGAGAGTGTGTTAGCCAAGACCCACTGCCTACCGCACCACTCCTCTTAACCAGCATCAGAGGAACAGCTGCTGCTCTGCACATGGGTTAGCAGAGAGGAGGAGGAAGAGAAGGCTCAGACCACTGGTGAAGAATGTTTCTGACCAGACATTTTATCCCGAGAGTCACTGACTCCACTCTACCTGCTAATCACCAGGATTGCCTCCTCCCCTCAGCCCTACTTCTAGCTTCATTTCAGCCCTGCGTGTCCATGCAGCTCACTTGCAGTGGGAGACACACAGCACTCAGGAAATGCCTGTACTCACCCTTTACTGCAGGAACAGGCCATGGTAGGGTAGAAAAGAAGAGAGACTTGGTATAAGCAGGAGGGAAACTGCTAACTGACACACAGCACAGGCTAAGCACATCTCATCTGAGAGGACAGGGCAGGATGGGGTTGTGAGAGCAGCATAGTGCTCCCTAGGGTGGGAGGTTAAATAGGTACCTCCGCCCTGGGAGTGCTATGAAGAGTCCCTGAATATCGTGCAAAGGACACAGAGACAGGCTCCCCCTCCATGCGGAGCTGCACTGCTCCAACAGCCCCAGAGATTTCCCTTCCCATGCAAGGTGGGATCTCCAGTGCCTTCTCTGAGATGCTGAGCAGAGGCACCACCCATGCAGGGATGGGGACTGCTGCAGGATGGCAAGTCCCCTAGAAGACACAAGGCTCCACACCAGAGCCTCATGTAGAGGCTCAGAGATCTCTGCATGGGATTCATCCCTAGCCAAGACCAGGAGGGAGAAGCTGATGGAGCTGGGAGGCAATGGGGGCCTCAATGGGAGCAGAGCAGCATGGACCAAGGCTGCTGGACCAGACATGCAGGTCCATGAACAGCAGGTACCTGTGGGACCAGGAGCAGGAAGAAAAGGAGGAGAATCTGCAAGGATGATAGACACCGGGAGAAACACAGAGAGGGAACTGGGAAAAGCAGAATAGGGCACCTGAAAGGGCAGGAGGAGGGAAGGAAGGATGCTTGGCCTGTTCAGTTACTTACACCTTCTGGTGATCACTAACGCGATTTCGGAGAACGTTAATCTGCAAGAGAAATACAGGTGGATGGTGAGGCCTGGCAGGATGCCTCGTGCCTGGCTGGGAACAGGGATTGGGGTGAAGGTGGACCACTGCTCTCTCCCTTCCCTAGAGGTTCTTGTTTGGCTGCATAGGGTTTAGCACGAGCAGCCACAAACCCCGTCCACCGCTGCTGGGTTGGAGCCGGGACATGGAGCCTCCAGCACTGCTGTGGGTGAAGCTGGGCCTGAGGCAGAGCTGTGATGTGTAGCACATTGGGAAGCACACCACAGTGTGAGGGCATGTATCCCCAGGAGCTGGGAACCCACCAGCAGCCCGTCTCGACAGCTGTGAGCCCTGGCTCTGCAGGGCACAGACTGAATGGAAGTCCTAACCCCTGAGGCTCCCAGACATCCCCCAGCATTTCACAGGTTTGTGCTCAGCCTTGCCAGGATGTGGGGGCACACTGACAAGTGCTGGCCTTGAATTTTGGGAAGGTTGGGTTTGATCCTGGGTCACATCCAAAAGACAGGCCAACGGGGTTCACTTCTCAGTGGTGCAGGGTCTCTCAGGCATTTACTACCCCTTTCCCAAGGAAAGCACAGACCTTTTTTCTAGTGCAGTCGACTTTCCTGCGACAGCACCATCAGCCGAATGACCCACCTCATCTCCCAAATGGGGAAGCAAAGAGATGGACAAGACAGGCATAGAAAAGTCAAGCTCATGGATGGCTTTGTGGCTCACCTCATATTTCTGCCGCTTGAACTTTTCCTGCAGGTCAAATTTCTCAGCCTCCAGGTCACGGATGCTTTGCCACAGCTCCTTGGCCTTATCTCTGTGGGAAGAGCTGTCTGGCATGAGTGCAAAATAGGGACATGGCATCCAGGAGGTCACTGCAGGGGGACAGGGCAGGGATGCCACCCCTTCATAGCACAAACCATCTCGCCTCCTCCCCCAGGATGGGTCTTTCTGCAGACTCCTTGCCCAGCCAGGGAGCTGTTGGCAAGGAGGCAAGGCCAGTCCCATGCGTGTGCCAAGCCATGAACGAGGTCAGAACACACGGGGGGGGGGACGGACACACACATATCCTAAGTATGTGAGTGTGGCTCCCTCTGACGGCCAGCACTGTCAGCAGCAGCCCGGCAGCAGTGGCCCTGTAGAGCCATGGGTGCAGAGGCCCAGACAGTATGTTGTGGCCTATCACCCGGCTGTGCCATCGCCCTGTGGTCCAGACTGTGGTCCACCTGGGCCCCCGAGTGGTGCCTCAGGAGATGGGAGTCAGAGCAGGGGGCTGCTGTCCTGGATGCCCCTCCTGCAACCTGTCCTCACCTCAGCTTGTCTTCGTTGAGGTGGTCAATGTTCAGGGGCTTCCGCCGTTCACTGAGGATCTTCTTCTTCTTCTCCCGCTCTGTTTGCTTCTTCCCACCCTTTTTCTCTGTCTGAGGAAACCATTAGTCCATCACAGGGAAGGACGGATGTTCCTCCCCCTTGGCCAGCCCGTTTCCCCTGCCCATCCCTGGCTCTACTCCAATGCCCATCCTCTGCTTTGTTCCCCCAAATGCCCTCTGATTTTGGGAACCCAGAAGCAGATGAGTTCCTCAAGAAAATTTTGGCAACACTGGACAAGACAACCTCCCACAACACATTTCATCCGGCCTTTTAACAAGCCACCTTTCTGCCTGCTCTTGCTTTCCCCTTCCCCTCTGCACTTCTTCCCTGCACCTGGGACCAAAGCTGGACCCCACAGTGTGTGGGCTTGGCTAGCATCTGCAAAGCAGAGCTCTAAATTCAATTTGACCTTCTGACCACTGCTGTGACCTCTCTGCAGTAGCCTGCCTTCTTCAGCTTATAGAAGCCACTATCCACCAGCAGTGAGAGAGCTGAGTATGTACAGCATCCTGTGGCCAGCCCACAGTCGAGCCCTTCTTGAGGGCACTGGCAGCTTCATATAAAGCCCCCTTGGGGCAGAATCAAACCTTCTGCATGTAGCCTCCAAAATGCAGCATGTTGGAGAACGCTTTCTTCTTCCGGGCTTCCTCTTCAGCCCTCTTTCTGGCCTCCTCTTCCTCTTTGCGAGCTTTCTCTTCCTGCCAGGGTTAGAAGTGGATCAGGAGAGGATGGGCAGAGACCTCAGAGAGGGGTACTGGCTCGCATGCAGCATGACAGTTTGTGCTCCTGTATGCTCTGTGGCTGGACTCGTGCTGCTAGGCCAGACATGGGGAGGAAGGCCTGAGCAGTCTGCATGCACTGGCAGACTAATAACACTGACCAAAACTGCAGGATGCCACTCCCCGAGCGGAGGAGCCCATTCCCATGGTCAGAGGCTGCTACTGCAGCTGGAATAGCCCTTGTGTGACCCCTCCGCTCCAGAACCCTTGACTCAGAAGGATGTTGGCATGCTGTTGCTGCTTCTTCAGTGGATTTGGGTCTCCCTTATGGTCGCTAACACAGTCCAGATCTCCTCAGAACAGGCCATAGCTATACAAAGCGAATGGCCAGGCCAAGCCTTGGAGATGCTGGAGGAGCTGCTGCAGCAGGGCTGGATGCACAGAGATGCTCAGCGAGGGAGCATTGCCACAGCACAGGAACAGGAAACGGCAGCTGCTCTGAAGAGTGCTGGTAAAGGGCAAAGCCCACCTTGGGGGTGCAATCAACCCTCCCTGGCCCCAGGAGAGAAACTCACAGCCATGCGGGCTTGGCGCTCCTTCTCCCTCTCACTGCGAATCCGCTGCTGCTCTGCTCTCTCTGCTCGTCGTTGCTCCTGTGGAAGGAGAGGACATTGGCCTGAGCGTACCAGGGACTTTACATCCTCTTTGTCCCTAGGAACACAACTCTGACCCCAAGAGCCAGAGCTCTGTGAGGCCCAAGGGCAGATCTCCTGCTCCCACTTCTCCCAGGGGAGTACATGGACCAGAGTCCACCATGGAAGGTGCCTCTGGAGTAGGCCTGCAGCATTGCATTAGCCAGACAAAGGACTTTCCAGACACTGGGACACAAACACCTGGCTCAGACCTCAAGCCCTCTCTTGCAGGGACCCAGGATGCCTCAGGTCTTGCTGTCAGGACTGTGGGGAAAGGATTGTGCCTCTTTGCCCACTGGGGAGAGGGTGGCAATAGTGATATAGGGAAAGGGCTGCAAACATACAATCCTGTCTTTGAGGGAGATCAGCTCCTCTTCCTCCTTCTTCCTGCTCTCAAAGTGAGCTTCGATGAGGGCCTGCAGTTCATTCAGGTCCTTCTCCATGCGCTTGCGGTGGATATCCTGTACCAGACAGAGAAAAGTGGTGACTGTGACATTCAAAAGAGTGAAACCCTCTGGGAGCTGCAAAAGCTGCTGGGCATGGTGTGGAGGAGGGATAAGAGGGGAACACCCCATGGGTGTGCACTACTCACGTCAAAATCCACTCTCTCCCCATCTGGGATTTTAGGGGGCACCAGGTTTGGCATGAAGAGCCTGCAATCGAAGGTTAGGAGGAGGACAGTGAGCCAGATGATCTGGGGCAGGATGGGCCTTTCATCTGTGCACTGATCCAACCAGCCCAGATCTGAGCTTCATAGCCCCTAGGGATGCAAAGCGAGTGTGATTTGAGGACAGCCAAGTGTAATGCTGCTAGCTAGAGGATGCCAACTGGACAGCATGGGAGGAAGACCTCTGTCATTCCTGGGAAGCACTCCAAGGCGACTGCACGGCCGGAAAAACTGCAAGCAGCAGGCAAATTGGTTGGCCACATCCCTTTGCTAGGCACCCCAGGGATGGCAACCACCCACATTGCTCACCCGAAAGAGTATGGAGGAACTGTATGCTCCAGCATAACCTGACACGCAACACTGGTATCCGTCTTCTCATCCATTACGGGCTTGAGAGAGGGCAGGAGACCCTCAGTAGAGGCATATAAAGACACCAAAATATGAAGAGAACACAGCTGAGGACAGATCTGCCTCCCAGACCATAGCATCCAGGTGCTCTATGACGACAGCCCAGGTTCCAGGGAATGGCTCGTGGCCCCTTTCCTTCAGGCAGGTTGTCCTGTCCCAGGGATGCTGGTGCTTATGCAAAGCCCTGCCCCATTCCAATCATGGCTGGGAGCATACTGAGGAGGACAGACCCTGGCTGTGGCAAGGACTATGTACTCCAGGCTGCACAGAGGAGGACACAAATGTTTTCCAGCTGCAGAGCCAGAGAGTGGCTGGGCCTCCTCAAAGAAACACACAAAATGCTTCAAAAGTGCCAGTTATGACCCATTCTCAGGGTTCTCTTCATATTCCCCGTTTGCCTGTCTGTTCCTCTCCCTTTTTCTCCCTATGTCCCAGGTTCTCCCTACTGTCATGCTTGTGAGGCCTCAATATCCCACATCCTTTACAGGTCTCAACTACGTGGTATTAAGCACATCACACAGAGCCCCTAGCCTGGCACTAAATAACTCCTAATTCACACCTGGAACCAGAGAAAACGCACCAACACTTACTTGGGCTTTGGCTTCAATTCACCTGCATGTCCACAGGAACCAGATAGAAAGAGAGCATTAGTGGAAAAGAGGCATTTGCTTTCACACCTCAACTCAAAGCCCATAAAACTGAGCTGAGCTGCCTCTTTCCCAGCAGCACAGAGCATCCTCCAGCAGAAAGGCACATACTGAGGTATCTGGCTATGAGAAATGTGCCAAGTTCTGAGACACCCGCTGATGCTCCTCCCTGAGCTGAGGGGTGTTCAGAACATCCTCTCTCCCAAGAAAAGGCAATATCACAGGGCACCTGATGGACAGGTCCTATGCCACCGGGCAGCAGGATCTCCCAGGCTGCGCCCGCTCTTGTTCAGACTCCCAACTGCCTGCTCCATCCAGGTAAGGCAGCCTACTGTGAGCACAGGCCCAGCTTCAGGCAACGTGCACGAGCATCCCAGCATGCCATTGGCTTACTGGATCTCTCTTCCAGACTCCTTGCCTGGACATGGTTGTCCCCACTGGCAGTGAAAACCCCAGTGACCCTGGGACTCATGACCTGTGGGAGAATCAGCCCCAGGCAACAGTAACACCAGCCTATTTTTGGTTGCTCCTGTCCTGCTCTGGCTAAGCTTTCCTTTCTCAGCTGCCATCCAGGGGAGGTGTCAGATCAAAGAGAGGACCTAGGTGATGGACTGGGAGCGTGACAGTGGCCAGTACCTACTTACATAGGTGTAGGGACACTCCCTTACCTCCCTCCCCCCCAAGAGGAACAAGGACAGATACTTCACCTTCCCCAGGCTCCTGCTCTCTGTCCCCCTCTCCATCTGTGGAAAACATGGTGCTTTGGCTACGAGAGGCCAGCCTTGCTGTGCATCCAGCCCAAGCATGGCAGCCGGACAGTTCAGCCAGGCTGTTCCCCTTTGCTACATGACCGTGCTTATCCCCACCGGAAAACCCACCAAGGAGCCCAGGACCTTGGAGAGGATCTGCATGGTTGCTGGGGGGGCAATCCAGGTGCCAGGAGCACAAACTGAGGTGCCACAGCAGAGCTGTCCTCACCAAGGCCCTGAGGAGGCTGGGCAGGAGGGCTGAGGGCCTCCAGGATGAGTAGGGCTAGAGCAGATCCCTTACAAATGTTGCTTTCCCCCAAACAGGCTGAGAGCACCTCAGATCCTCCCCAGAAGGAAAATAGATACACAATGCAAGAACTCAGGTTGGGAAAGTAGGAGCGCTGCCCTTTCCTTTTTCACGTTGAGTGAATTTCTTACCTAGGTAGCACAAAACTATCACTCTTGCCTCCTGCAGGCCTCCTGCTGCTCTCCAGCATTGGCAGAGGAAGGAGCCAAGGGCAGCTCTACTGCATTTACCTCAGGTTCTCTATCTTCAGCAGTGGCTGAATTTGACACTGAAAATCCCCATAATAAGGGGCCACCATCTTGTGGGTTTGGCATCAGCAATGAACTGGCCAAAAAAGGTTGCCTCTTCCACTCCTGCTTTACCTTCTCCTGATGCTTTATTTTCATCTTCTTGTTCTGTTTCAAAAGCAACAGGGAGAATACAATTAGAGCATCCACAGATAAGTACAACCACATCCCCATCCAGCATGGAGGGGTCACAGCACCCTGCCTCCCCCATAGCTCAGATCTGATCCAATGCCCCACCAGATTTTCAGTCCAGGGCATACAACAGACAATCCAGTCTACCCTGAAGAGGTGTCATGAAGTCCAGAACTCTTTGGATGGGGAGACACATCAAAGCATGATACCAGCACTGGATTCCCCAGTTTGAGGCAAAAGGGACCTTTTGGAGGAACAGGCTTAACTCTTTTTTGGCACTACTTCGGTGTGCTGGACATGATCATTTTGGAAGCAGGGCAACAACCAACTGAAAACACTATTATCCTCATTCTTGCACACCCAAGGGTCTCAGCATGTGGTAAGATCAGGAAAGGGCAGCTTAGCTTTGTCACCTCTTTACAGAAAGCCACTGATAAGCGGGAAAGCAAAGCTGAGTCCAATGTTGACCTGCTGTCACAAGCAACACTGGGGCATCTCAACCCATGCTCTACAGTGCAAGAGGGAGCACCCCACCAAAGCAGAGCAGCTGATTGGAGCCTGCTGAGCCATGGAAGCTCACTAGTGAAGCCACCACACACCTTCTGCCTTGGTTTCTTCAGTTTCCTCTTCTACTTCCTCTATGTGTTCTTCCTGATCTGTGGGATAACAGGCAGAGTGAGTCCGACAGTTGGAACTCCCTCTGACTCCCTACAGACCCAAATAACAGGACAGCCTGCTGCACTGAGCCAGCCACCAGTAAACCCAGGAGAGAGGCTCAGAAGGAGAGGTAGCCACAGGAGAAAAAGAAAAAGCAGTTCAGAAAGCAAAGGACTTCACTCTAACATTTACTTATGGGCTGATTATGCACTTAGATAGGGGAAAGAAAAAGGAATTTATAGCCACCTACTGGTTAGCCCCTCACTCCCTCTCCTACTGTATGTGCACCTCTGCACAGCCATACTCTCAGGCAACGCAGAATGAAAGGACCAGGCACCATCCGGGGCTGCTCTTGCAGAAATTCCCTCTATATAGAGATACTAAGTCAAAATACCCTCCTCCTTAGACCCCAGGGCAGGGTGGGAGTGATTTCTATTGCTCTCCTGTACCAAGCAAAGAACAAGCCCAGCTGGCATTAGAGAAGGTGCCTTCGGCTATTCTCAGTCTTATTTATGAGGCTGATGGAGCATCTTTTCCACTGGAGGGAGCAGTATCCCCACAAGACTCCTCCATCAGAGCTAGAGCGATGCTGGGACCCTCAGGACCTGGAAGGTCCTGAAGGACTTGTAGTCCCATAGCCCAAAAGAAAGAAAAAGAAAGAAGGCAACAAACCATGGGCACATTTACTCCATGGATGAAAGGTAGAAAGCACAGAAACTGAAGCAGATATGCATAACACAGCATGGCATGAGGGAGGGAGCACAATAAGCAACACAGAGAAGTGGAAGAATGAAAGAAAACCATTTCCCAACCAGGGAAAGACAAAGAGACATGACCACCCATGACATATTTAAAGCAGCACCAGAGAGATGAAATAAAGAAAGATGTAATAACTACCGTCTTCTTCCTCTATCCATTCTTCCTCTTCTCAGCCAGGGAGGAGTGAAAGGAATAAGCGGAGAGGTTAGTCAGATGCCATAAAGCTGTGGGGTCTAGCTACGATGTGCAATGAGATGAGGACACTAGTAGTGCATTGATTTCTCTCTTGCGCTGCTTTTTTGCTTTTAACATTCAGGATATTTTGCTGCATAGAAGCCCAGGCCGTCTTGCAGGACTCTGAAGCAGTAAGAGCTTTCCTCAGCAAGGCCCACAACCTAACCCCAGCTCAGCATGCACAGCCCAGCCCAAATCCCAGAGCTTCTGAAAGTGCAGTGGGGTTTGCTTCTTCAAACTGAAGCAGTTGGAAGTTTATGCTTGAGCATAATTAATATAAATTCAGCTGAGGCTCCAGCTTTGAGTGGGCTACTGTGCTTTCATCACTGTTGCATTCAGGAATGGGCTGCAAAAATTTCCACCCCCTCTTCCCTGTTCAGATATGGGTTTTGAGTCAAGGGCTCTCACTGATAAAAGAGGCCCCGAAAAAATTTGGACTAGTTTTTCTCCACCTGAAACATCAGTGGGAACCTTCTGGAGCATGGTTTCATAGGCCCTTTCTGGTCATGATTTACCCATTGCGGTCAAGGAACTTACCATCACAAACCACTCAAGCAAAAGACTGAAGCAATAGCAACAGTCTCTTGGTCCTTGTAACTGCCAGTGAAACACCTACCTTCTTCGACATATTCCTCTTCACAGAGCACATGTGCGCAGGGGAGAGAGAGAAGGGAAAGAAGGCGCAAGTTATTGAAGTTGCTCTGATCACTTCTCAGTTTCAGTCTCAGTGTGAGTGCAGATGCTCCACATCCTCTTACCTTCCTGCTCCCTGCAAAGCACAATGCAAAGTTAAATTGATCCACCAAGTTAAATGGAGCAGCTACAGTGAGATGTACATGTCAATCAGTAAGCCAAAGGGGAATTTGAAATTCCCTCAAGGGTAGCTCCCCTTTTTCATAGAAGTAGGGGATGAAAATTTCATAGGTTGGTGTGTTCCATGCAGTGATGTAACAGTGGGAACAGGAAAAGACCCAGATCACCCTGCAGGCTAAGGATGTTAGGAGCTGAAGTGCTCAACTTACACGCCTGCACTGGTCAGAGCGCAACACTGTTTTGTAGCATTAACTTCTTGAGAAGATCAAGTGACCATGGCCTGCAACTCTAGACACAGGTATCTCATGTCCTGCTTTTGCCCCAGACTCATGTTGCGCAGTCTGTCCTCAGGCTCACACAGGGAATACCAGACACAGAGGACAGACCTGTCTGTCCTATGGGAGGCTGCTGGGTCATTCAAATGCAGGTGAAGGATTCAAATCTGCTTTTTGGGTTGGCAGATGAGAAGAGCAGGAGCTTTGTTCAGACTGGCCCCTAAAGCGACACAGCTTAGATATGGAGCTCCTTCTCCCCATGGTGCACACAGGGCCCTCATGCTTTGTGCCCCAGCAGTCCTCACCAGCCCAAACTGCTCTCAAACTCAGGCCTCACAGCAGAATGCTCTGGGGTGGCACTGGGACCCTCGTGAGCAACAGATTGATGAACTTGTCCTTTTCCCTTTCCCAACTTTGTCTCACCAATGTAGATGGCATCATTTTTAGTGCCTTTACTGTCCCCTTGTCATGTATATGTTCAAACAGCTCCTAATGCAAAACAAACATGCCACTGCTGGGGATCTTAATACCATCTCAGCAGTGGTGCAAACAAGCACAGGAAAGGCTCCCAAAGTGCTTTCACAATGCTTGCCTGCTCCAAGTGAGGTGGAATAACAATCAGAGCCAATGCACCATGAACAACACCTACAAGGAACGCTGCAACCCTGTGGAAAGGCAGGAATAAGAAGGAGGGGGAAAAAAAGGTGTTTAAAAACGTGGCACTTACTGTTCATATTCTTCGACTATCTCTTCAGAATCCGACATGCTTGGTTATCTAGCAGAATTCAAGGCAGATTAGAAAGAGTGGGTGTTAGGAGCTGAGATAAGGACAATCACAGCCTGTCCTTCAGCAACAGAGACATGGACACAGAGATGCTGTGCCTCTCCAAAGCATTTCCCACTGCCAGCTGTGAGCTGTCCCCAGCCAGACTGAGGGCTGCTGTATCTCAGCTGAGATAAGGCCCCCCTTCCCTCCCCTCCTGTCCCAGGATCACAGCTCACCTCAAATAAGAAACCAGGAGATTAGACACAGCCTCGTGCAACACTGATAACTCTAGTCAGGAGCCGTGTCCAGGACACGTAGCACCCCTTGCCAGAGTGATCTCAGGGTGCTGTGTTTGTTCAGGGCATGGGAAAAGAACCCAATTATAAAGTTCAGCTTGTTTTGCTTCTTGGCTATTCTTAGCTTTGTTGGGATACAGAGACTTGCAGGGATGTCCTGTTATCTTAAATTCACAGCCCTGCAAAAGCAACAACATGAGATCTCAGCAAGAGACCTCCCAGTCCAGCCCTTAGTGATCTGGGCTCTGCGATAGCATCTCTATCCTGTTCCTGGCTCTGATGCTGAGCTGCTGAAGGATACTGGACTTCCTCCCACACCTTCGCTACCTCTTCTGCAAGGACAGGAAACCACCTTGCAGACTCCTCAGCCGCAAAATGCCACAGAAATGACAGTTACAGCTTTTAATAAGATCTCAGTCACCTTAAATCCTCTTTCCTCCATTCCATCTAGGCTTTGTGTTAAACAAGAGTGCACCTGAACCTACTCAGAATTTAATTCTTTCCAGACCCTACGATCTGGCATGGCATTTACTAAAGATGAGGTCCAACCTTACAACAGCATCGCAAAATATCCAGGAAAAGAGACAGAGTTGGTAACAGAAGCTGATTTAACAGAAGCTGTTAAATCATTCCAGATTTAGATAATGTGGGAATCACTCACAGCCTGATTTAGCAGTAGGGCTAGTAATGCTTTTTAGGAGTGCAGCCATGCTCCTCTTCCCAGCATCTCTGTATCCTTCCCAGCCACGTTCAGGTGGACTCCAACATGATCTCCACTCATCATCCCACCTCTGTCCAGCTACCCGCTGATGCTGCGCCACCAGCTTCGTGCAGGCCAACCTTCCCATCAGTTCCCAGCTGTTGGCTCTGCAGAGCATTTCTGAGCATTGGCCAAAGCCTCCGCACAGTCTGGCCACTGCTCACATTCATGCCAAACCTGGGCAAAGCTGAGATGTAGCAGGATAGTTTAAGATAGTTCTAGAAATAACTTCCATGTGCTAAACCACCTGTTCCCAGAGCAACTCTGCTTCACATCTCCTCTTATCGGATGTCTGGGAGCAACTGGTTCTGGCTACATCTGTTCAGCATTTATTACTCGTGATGGGTGGGATAGGCTTCATGATCGCTTTCTAAAGATGCTGACTGCCTGAATTCACAACGGGAATGAGCCAGCACAGAAAAAAAGCATTACAAGATTGGTGCCTTTGCACACCGTGTAGCTCACAGAGATCTGTCAAATCTCACTTCAGAACAATGACTCAGACAATGCTTTCTGGAGATAAACGTCATCAGGATTCATTCTCATCTGCCTCGGGTTCTCCGCCTGCATTTGCCGTCATTGTTCCAGGTGTCCCCTCCCTTGTAACAGATCTGAGTCTTAATCCTAAGCACTCAAGACTTGATGTGATCTTGTCACGGCACAAGAGTGGAGATTCCCTCCTAGCCAGCATAGTACAGACATGCATTTGTGAAAACACATTTCTACACTTCCCTTCACATCCCCCTTCATATATCATCAGATCTCCACAGAGCAATTGCTGACAAACAGGACTATTAAGGAGATACATGAGAAAAGCTTATACTGGAAAGTGACTCTAAGATTTATTTTTCCATCTAGAAACAGGCTAAATCTTTTGGTTAAAGCTTTGAAAACTTGTTGTGAAGGAATTAAGAGAACTGAGCAGAGGTATTGCAGAGCTACAGAGCAAACATTACTGATGGCAAGTAATCTTCCATTACCAACTGTGGGTTCAATAATGTAAATATCCCTCCCCCTCCTCAAAATCCCCTGCTCTGCTAGCACTGGGCTGGCTGCTCACACCTCAGAGGGCGAGTTAATTGTCTACAGTTTACAGTCCCTGCTTTCCTCCAGGCTACCCAGACCTTGAACTCCAGGTGTCACAGCATTCACTCCAGCACTGGTCACATCACTGGTTGCTTTCACGCGTGGCCAGGTCAGGTCATGCACGTGAGTATCCTGCCTCTAATCCACCCTTCTAACTGCCGTGGAGCCAAGGGTCAGGCTGGCCACCGATCACTGACACGATCATAACATCCATTTCATCCCACTCAAAGACACAGGGAATAGGGACCTTTATCAGGTGTCCCCAGCACCATGGCAGCCAGGATCCTTCTCAGCCACCTTGGCATGAACCAGGGGTAACTCTAATGGAGCCAGATACATTGCAAATACAAACCCACTGAAGAGGGTCCTGATGCTTTATCTGGAGGAATGCCTTTGCGGCAGAAAGACAGTCATCCAAGCGGAAGCAGCTGGGCAGGACCAGTAACTTCAAGCCAAATCCCTTTCAGGTGTTTAGTGACTGCACTTTTACAGCAGAGACTGAGCATCTTTCGGCACAAGCAGACACACTTCCCCAGCCTGGCGCCTTACCTCTCCCACAGGGTGCAGGTGAGATCCCACAGAGCCCAGCGGAAGCTGGCAGGCGTCTGAGAAATCCTCTTTGGAGGCAGGAGGCTTTAAGGGGGCTCCAGAGCCCACCCCCGGGCGGGCAGCGCCGGGAGGAATGCAACCGGCGCCCAGCGAGGAATGCAACACTTAACCCCACCCCCCACCCAGGAGCCCATATAAGCCCAAGCTATTGTGCAGCCTCAGAGATTTGCTATTTTAAACCCGCCGGAATGAGATATGCAAGTGCCCAAGGGGCTGACACAAGCCAGTCAGCTGTCACTTTTTAGGGCTGACGACGCTGATAAGTGAGTGCTCCCACAAATGGAGGTCTGGACCCTCTGCCAGAGCCCAGCCACCAACTTACTCCCAACTCTGGCTCACTCTGCATCCACAATAGGCCCAAGAAGCTATAACACAAAGGCATGAGTCACATAAAGCTGGATGCTCAGACAGGCTGGTTTTCTCAGGAGCCCCCAGGACACGTTTGTCTTGGATTTGCCAGACAGACCACAGAGACATCCTACTGCTGCTTGTTCTGCACAGCACAGAGACCAAAACAGGTGGGCTTTGCCTTTTCCTCTTGCCAGAGGAAGGGAAGCAAACCATTCTTGTTCCCAGACCTGGAGCACACCGACCAGGAGCATCTTAAAAAGAGCCATTTTTATTAGAAAAAAAAAAAGAATGGAGAAAACCAAGTCCTCTCCAAAGCCTAACAAGCAAGATCAGATCTAGGGCAACCAGTTGAGTCCCACGCTGAATTCAGATACTGGAGTGGTTGTTAGAGCCACAGCCACAGCCCATGGCCTGGCCCTCTCACAAGGATCTGAGCATCATCTCATGGGCTCCTCACAGTATTCTAAAGCTGATCTCAAGAGGGCACCTCA